GGGGGGATGGGGAGGGTCATTCATATTGCGCCCATGCGCAAAACACGGGTATTTGCGGCGTTTTCGCTTCTTTGTACAACCAAACATAAACCCAATCCTTAACCCTAAGTCTAACCTAAGACTTAGGACAAGTCAATACTTTAAGCAAAAACTCTCTCTTAAATAAAGTTTTGATCTGCAGCCTCTTCAAAAATGAGCTAAAAACCCGAGCGAAAACGCAGTTAGGCCCAAAGTTTACTCCAGCCTCTAGTGTTTCGCGCACATGCCTGAACCATAATTTTCTGTGAGATTGCGCTCTCGCTGTGGTTTCGCGCGCATCCATGCAAAAAGCTTCATTCTGAAATCGCTAAAAACGCATAGGTGCGTACAGGCGCTGTCACCACGTTTTGTCTAATTACTCTAGTTGGTTTGAGGTCTTAGCTGATCGTCCAAAGCCCGGCTGACTCCATGTGGCTGTCTGTGCATGTGCCGTCGTACCCTATCAGAACGAGAAGAGTCGCAGGAGAGACCAGGACTGGAAGCCACAGCAACACACCTTGAATCCCTAGATAAGCTCCCGAAGCCCTCGACCCGAAACAACGATAGTCCCACTACGATTGATGTTTCGGGCAACTGATGCTGTGCAGGAATCCCATCCCTCCAACCGCATCCCCTAATCTTTGAGTTGGGGTAAAGGGCGGGAATACGAATCAGAGGAGATCCCATTAGGGGGCCGACAACTTGAACAACTACCACATGGAAGCTTACTAGTAGTAGCAGCACTAGCAGAAGTAGTCCCTTGGGGTTCCTGGCTGTCAGGATTATATCCACGATGTACTTCCCATTATTTGTTGATTATCTGTCTTCTTTCTGGGCTTGTATGTGTTCCCTGCACACCTATCGCCATCTTCAATGTTGTGGTCTTGAAATCACAGAATGAATTCCACGGCCCTTGAAGCCTATACAGTTGAAGCCGAAGATATACCATGTTAAGCCTTTGTCAACACCCCCCCAAAACCCTGAACCTTCATCAACGCTCTTATCAATCCTGAAGAAGTCGTGATAAGCCCAATTTCGCGCATCCAACCCTAGGCCCCCAAATCCCTAGGAGCCTGGAATCGCTGGACTTCAAACCTCAAAAATGGTAGGCAATGACCCCTAAAACAAGAGCAACATGATTGAAACAGCAGGAAAATGGAGCCTGAACCCAAATGCTATTGCTAATGCCTACACTGCCTACACCCCTATATTGCCCTCAGATTCTTGACCGAATCCTCACTGTGCGGATCATTCCCCAGCCCTGTAGCGTTTACATGGAGGCCTGCATTATCAAGAGTCATACTATCCCGATTATGGTCCTTAAGGAATTATGCTACTGTATACCCCCAAGCTCCTATCTAACCATTATGAGGCCCCCAAGCCCAAGCAGAAACCCTAGAGACCGCAATAGGACCCCTTAAACACTGTTGAAAGACCCCGCTCTAAATCGTAAACCCTACCTGATCCTCCAACAAGCCTGCCTGTTTAGGGTTCAGGGTCTAGGGTTTAGGACATCGTGATAAGGAATCCCAACAGTGTGCGTTCCTCAGGGTTCAGGTACACCCCAACCTGGAAACGGTGTAAATCGCCCCCTGTCATTCCGGTCGTTGTGACCTCCTGCACTTCTTCCCCGAAATGAGCAGAAGCCCGGGTTACAAAGTAATATCGGGGCCTGAATACCTAGAATAGGGTTCCTGTAACAGGTTCTTTAACGGGATCTATAAAGGATTTAGGGTGTTTGAGGGGGTGTTTAGGGTATGGAGGCACCAATAATTGGAACAGGGTTTCGGGGGTTACTTATACTATATCATAACATCTTAGTTCTGATGAGGAATGACACGGGCTTGTATTGCTAGTTATTCTGGCTTCTGTTGTAGCTTCTAAGGGGTGTTAGTCGGCTTCAACTAGGTGGTTAGTACGACTTCAAGACCCTTTTAGACGGAGTTGACAGGTTTCAGACATTTCTGTTGTGATATTAGGTCAGAGCATACTTCTTTGAAGGGTTCGCTGCTATCGGTAGGGTTTAGAGATTTTGGGGCTGTGGGCTTGGGGGTTTTGGATGGGCAGAGAGTGGTGGATTCAGGTAACAGGAGACTTAGGTTTGAGCTATCTACCACAGGTAGGGTTAAGAGGTTTTGGGCTTTGGGTTTGGGTGCTGTGGATTTGGGCTACAGAGTAGTGGGTTTAGGGAACAGGGTCGTTGAAGTTTAGACTTTCGGTTTTCGCGGTCAGGTAAAGGTTGCACGTGCAGTTCTTCAAACAGGGTACATCGAGACTTCAGTCAAGTATATGAGTTATGATCCTAAAGCCGATTCTTATAGAACCCTCACAGAGCCATTCATGCTGCCAACTCCCCGCTCCCTGCTCGTACATCCCTTGTAACATCCCCTGTTTTACCTTGTTATAAGACCTTACAGAACCCCTTATTCTGGAACCCCTACAGCAACCCTTGCCCTAAACCCTAAAGCACCTTGAACGCCCCCATATACTACATATTAAGCATCTCATTTCAATACTTTAGGTTAATATACATATACAGACACTTATATACTACCTACCGAATCTATAGAACGTACGTATATATTCACTCAAAGCAGATAGAACGTACGTATATACTCACTCAAAGCAGATAGAACGTACGTATATATTCACTCAAAGCAGATAGAACGTACGTATATATTCACTCAAAGCAGATAGAACGTACGTATATATTCACTCAAAGCAGATAGAACGTACGTATATATTCACTCAAAGCAGATAGAACGTATATATTCACTCAAAGCAGATAGAACGTACGTATATATTCACTCAAAGCAGATAGAACGTACGTATATATTCACTCAAAGCAGATAGAACGTACGTATATATTCACTCAAAGCAGATAGAACGAACGTATATATTCACTCAAAGCAGATAGAACGTACGTATATATTCACTCAAAGCAGATAGAACGTACGTATATATTCACTCAAAGCAGAGACTAGAGTCCCGGGCTTCTGAGTGTCACTGCCAGCAGGGCCCGGGTCCTCGTGCAAACCACGCTGCAAACTCCAAAGCTTGGACTTCGGCTTCCCCCTGATATTGCGTGGGGTTATACTAGATAACAGTATAGTATAGTACAGTATAGTATAGTGTATTGTAGTATACTACATTGCAATAAGTGTAGTTTAGTAGTATAGTATAGTACGGTATAGTATAGCATAGCATAGCGTATGGTGTAGTATCGCATGGTGAGTAGCTTGCAGGCAGAAGTTTGGTATGGTATAGTATAGTATAGCATAGTATACGTTCTGTTGACTGTGCCCCAAGCACCGGGCTTTACAAGGATGGCCTCTCTAAGGGGGTAGTTATGGGCGGGGTTATCAGCTTTTACGTACATGGCTCGCCCAAAGATGTCTGGGGCTCTATCGGGCTTTGTGGGGTTCGAATAAGTTACAGAAGTCTCTGCAGTGTTTTGGAAGGCCTTCTAAACATGGTTCTGCATGGGGGTCTTGGTATTATCGTTTAGCTTAATGCTGTTTTGTCACAGTACCATAACGGCTTTGCAGGGTGATACGGCGTTTTGTGGTGGTGTTTGCTCATGTCGTTTACACAGGGGGGTACGTAGGGCTCCAAAGCATTATCCCTGCTCGTGCGCTTCCCAAACAGGCACCATAAGAAGGATTTACAGGGTTCTATGATGGCTTGGGGGTTAGGCCTTCAGGGCTTTCGGGTGCTTAGTGTTCTAGTCCCATACAGACATTGGAGTCACCTTTTCCTTATCCTCGGGTACCTTGAGTCCTTCGACGGAGGTTCTTCCAAGATTGGACTTTTGGATAGTTCTTCGGTAGTTCTTTCCAGGTTTAGGATTGCAGAGTCTGGGGCTGGACGGTAAAGGTTTTTGTGGGTATAGAGCCCTTATTGCTCCAATTTCAAGTCCAGCACTCTCTAGCCCGAAACCCTAGGATCAAGGATCTCACAGCTTAGGATGGAGGTGTTTAAGCTTTCAGGGTTCAGACTGGGCCAATCCCTGCATGCCAAAGCCGACACCTAAACCTCAACCCCCAAACCTTGTAGATCAATTACAGCAGCCCTTTTTACCTCAGAGCCCATATAGTAACCCTTGTACAATAGGGTTGAAGCTCGGAAAGCCCAAAGCGATGGACGCCTGAAGTGTCCTGTCTCGGCATACGTGCGCGCTGAAAAGCGCGAGTTCGGACTCACGTGCCTTCCGAAGTTTCGCGGCGATCAGCTGAAAAGCAGCCTAGAGGGTCCATGTGTACATTGTACAGTTGTATAACTATCATATTTCATATGTGCCGATACATAAAGATGTGTCTACCTAAATAGAAGAACTTAAACACATAGGTATGTATAAATATGTACATATCTATATGGATCCATTTATTTATATGCTTATCCTTGTTGTTGAGTTAATCAGTGTTTGTTTACCGTTGTGCCATTTCTGTATTTATGTTAGTGTGATTGTGTCATGGGTATACATACATATATACATGCAGATGTAACTTGTGTCTGGCGTAGAAGAAGCGGACTCTTGTCATGTACCTTTTAGCTGACTACTAGGAATCTGTCGTGGACCTGCGGTCGTAGGATTCAAGGAATTCGGTATTAAGCTTCGGGATGCTTCGTCATTGTCGTGACTGATTCCCTTAGACTCCCAACGCTACCCCAAACCATGAGCACCATTTCGCAGGGAATGAGAATGAGGGTTTAGGGTTTTGGTTTTCGGAAGACAGGATACTCTGATCTTTTCCCGAGCTGAAGACAAGTTGTCTTCAACCCAAACCTGACACCCGGGTTCGCAAAGGAATAACCCTAAACCCTCTCAAACCCCAAATACCAACCGCGAAAACATAACTTAGTTGTGCCGGATAGAAACTCATAGAACCTTTCTAGAACTTGCTGAACCCCGATAGAAATTTACGGATGCCTTAGGAGACCCTTGTAGAGCCTCATCGAAATGCCTAGGCCCGAAAGCCCAGGTGAACTTCATTCAGCGCCTGCTCGTGAAGGAGGCTGCAAGCATCTTAAGGAGCTCGAGGGTTAGGGTTTGGATTAGGGTTAGGGTTTAGGGTTCCTACAAGCGTGGGTTCCTAAAGGGCCTAAAGACTCACTACCAAGTCAGCTCGGAGACGTCACCCTTTCTGTACCAACACATCACTTGTTTTGGTTATCGGATCCTTTTCCGGGTTTAGGGGTTTTGGGTTTCGGATCTGTCCAGTTATTTGGGTTATAGGATCCTTAGTGCTATAGGATCCTTACCTGCTGTTGTAGCTTCTGTTGTGGGTTAACTTTTTCGATCCTGGATGCGAGGTTGGTCACGGTTGGTCAAACCCCCAAAGGAACTACATTGGAGACTATGGCTTATGGGTGCTATCAGTTTCGCAGTTAGCCTTGACTTGGAGGTTCCGACCGCGCGAAGGCACTGCTTGAAAACACGTCCATCTAACAGTCGAATGCCTTCTTACCGTCCCGAGGTTCATAATGCCACCTAGATGCCAAAGCCCACAATCCCCACGCAAAAAGCAAAGGGAAAAGGATCTAAAAGATCGCATGTCCCAAATTGCGAAACTCTAACGCCTTGAACCACCCAGAAAAGCTTGTAAAGCCTCCTCAACAACACTATACTACGCATAGTGCTGAAGAACTTAACAGAACCTACTAACCCCCTACACAAGAATGAATCAACAGACATCCAAAAGGCCGGCGAACCCATATTGAGCTTACGAAGGGCTGGTTCTTAAAACACATTGTAGACTTTCTCGAGCCCACAAGTGGAGCTCGATAGAACTCAATGCAATCGTAAAGCCCAAAGAGCCCCAAAGCTACAGAATCCAGTAACATCCTATGGAGCTCAAATAACATAGAACCCCACACAAGAATGCTGAAAAACCCTGTGATCCCATAGAGCCAATCTAGGACCCTACAGAAACCTGTAAAGGCCCACAGGGCCCGAAGCATGCAATATAGACTCCTATGCAAAGCCCATAACACTCTCGAAGTCGCTGTAGAATCCTACAAAATCCGTGGTGCCGCCCACGAGAGAGCCAGCAAACAGAAGACCCAAGGCCACACGGTTTAGTGTCTAGGCTTCGTAGGGTTTGGGATGTTCTTAGATCGCCAATTGTATTTTTTGTGCCCGCTTATTGAAGAACCCTGAACCCCAAACCCTAAATTGAAGAAAAGAGCTGAGGGTTCCACAGGTAGCGAAGCGACCGCTCTGTCGCGAAGCTTTGCGTCGATTCCTGAGAGCGCCTGCCCTCCCACCCGCTTACAGTTAGGGTTTAGGATCCGTGTGCCCCTCAAACTAAGAGACAGATAAAGGGTCTAGGGTTTAGGGTTGAACACTTTTGGGTGCGTTCGGGGAGTGTTGAAGGGTTAGGTTAAAGGACAAATAACAAGCAGGCATAAGGGTCTCAAAAGGCATGGCATCGGGGTGCTATGAGGCCTGTTCCCAGCAAGCCCAATACCCCTCAGCCAAGGAATATAGCTTGAAGCACAATAACCAAGCTTCACGGTTTGCATCGTCTCGGGTGGCACATACTGTTGTTGCAGGGCTTAAGGGTTGGTGTTGGCGTCCGTGAGAGCCTTTCCAAATCAATCAAATCTTTTAGAATGCAGACATGATGCGGCTCTGAGAGATAACAACCCGCAAGATCAAGCGTAAGTCTTACAAAGACACCCTCGCAAATTATAATGTAAGATAGGGCCTTCACAATTACCTACACTATTTTGGCGTTCCTTATTATTGTCATTATAGTATAATGGGCCCCAAAACGCTATTCTAACCGTCAAGGCATCTACAGTAGGCTCAGTAGGTGTTTAAAAAACATAAACAACAAGTAAGGACCAGAAGACCCCTCCTGAGAATATCTTGGGGTCCTAACCCGATGTCCTATACACCCTAGAGCCCTGATCCTATGGAACCTCTTATTGAGCCCTTTACAGGATGCTTTTGAGGGGGCCTTGATTGTGGCAACGGCAACGAAGTTGAACGCCTATTTGCCCTCAATGCGAAGCCCCATCCTTCCACTGCGAGAAGAACACAAAAGAGAAGAACCACAGCCGCAACCGAAACACGAGAATCTACACTACCCTGACATGAACTTAGCTGCCGCAACGAAGTACTCATAGAGAAGAAACAGATACCTACGCCTCAAGTCAGATAAAGGGAGAACCACAAGCAGCTATCAGGTGACGAGTGGTTCTCCGGCGTCGAGAAGCAAAAGTCACTGAGCGGCCGCCAAGCCAGGAAGGCACCAAGGGGGCTTCCTTCGGAGGACCCGGAGAGCTTTAAAGTTCAATATAGTTTCAGGGTTTGCGGCCTTTAGGGTCGAGGGGGCGGGGGTGGGGCGGGGTGAAGGGTTTACGGCCTTTTGCGAACTTTAGCCCGCATTAGGGCTCTTATAGGGTTTGTTTTCACGGTCTAAGGCTTGAGTGAGGGTTGAGTTCCTTTTAGGGTTCGTATGTCGGTCGCTGCAAGGGGAGTTTAGGCAGGAATCCTCGATAGGGGTTCCTTGGTGAATCTTTTGAAGATTTCGAAAGGAAGTGTTCTTGGGATCCACAGAAGGGGGTCTACTTGGAGGCCCTATTGGGTTAGTAATCACTTGGCCCATATCGTCGACTTGGCTATATTGGTTAACATGAGATAGCAAGTCCTGTAACCCTACTTATTATGTGAGACAAGTCGATGCACAACTGTGGCAAGTAACATGCATGACACAGCAATTGAATAGTAAAGGATTAGTAAGTGTCGTAAGTAGATAGCAGACTTAGCAAACAAAAAGGAAGTAAGTCCACAGACATATGTAAGTGACATATGCTAAGTGTATCATGTGTGTTAGTAAACGAATGTTAAGTGATATCGCCGGCATAGGGTATGTCGGGCAAGTCGACTTATCTAAGTGAGCTAGTCAGCGGATTTTTCCAGCCCTATGTCGACATAGCCGGTGACTTGGCTAAGTCGACTAAGTCGACTTAGCGGGACCGTATTTTTGATGCATTTTGATGCAGGCATGGGTATAGATATGGCACAGGAGGGCCCGGAATTGCAAAGGAAGTTCGGCACGTATGCAGAAACACAGAGAAGCGTGTGGGCAAAAAAGAAAGCAGAACAAGAACTGCACATTTGGAGTTCCAAGCACTTATAGGGCAAATGCTCGCGGTAGATTTTTTTTGTAGGTTGACATGATTTTCATGGTTGATCGAAATATGTTTGTTCTGCTGCTCTGCTTTTTTGGTCGCAACACTCTACGTATACAAACAATATACAAAAGAGATACTACGAACATACTGCGTCAATACAAGCTTGAGAAATCCCAAGCATGTGTTTTCGGAAGAAGATGTTTGCCCGATGTACATTTTTGCGATCGAATCAAAGCAAGTTTTGCCGCTCGATTAGAATGGTTTTCCATGTCGTGGAAAAGTTTGCATGTTTCCGAAATGTTTGCTTCGCATGAAAACATGCATGTATGCGTGCTTTTACATGTTGTGCATGCATGCATGTTTGTATGCACATATATGTATGCATGTAACTAAGTAGAGGTAAGCAGGTAAGTATGTAAGTACATGGGGGAAGTAAGTAGATGAGTAAGTACTTATGTATGCATGTATTTTTGCATGCATGTATGCCTGTTTGGTGTGTGCTGCCGTGACCTCTATAGGCTCTTATAATTATGTGGACTTGTTGTTGCATAGCAGGCTTTAGACAGAGCATTGGGGTTCTTCTGTTTATAGATCCTATATATGATAGTGGTAATATGCTGCTATATAGAAGCTATAGTGCCCGAGAAGAGCTGGTGATAGTGTAAGATTTAAGCTTCTAGATACAGTAAGGAGAGTCCTATACTCAGGTTATACAAGTAGTTCCAGGTAGGCCCCCCCCCGTCCCCCCCCTGTCTCGTTCAGGTTTGTGACTTGTCAGGATGTCAGGTTTTTTTTCGGCGCCTTCGTGCACGACCTCCCGTGCGCCGGGATGGCGCCAGAACAGAGATGAAGCCGGCGCCGGGACGGCAGCAGGCTAAAGACCCCGCAAATGCACCGGGATGGTGCTGGGGCACACCCTCAGTGCACCGGGATGGTGCGGGGTGTCAAAGACCTCAAGCGCGCCGGGAGGGCGCCGAGGCCGACCCACAGCGCACCGGGATGGTGCCGGGTCGAGAAATCCTGAAAGTGCGCCGGGAGGGCGCCTGGGTGGACCTGTAGTGCACCGGGAGGGTGCCGGGTTCAAAAGACCTCGATGAGTGCGCCGGGAGGCGCTGAGGCCGACCCTTGGTGCACCGGGACGGTGCCGGGTGGCGACGACGCTGCAGAGAGCAGTTGCGACGGTGACGACGATGAGACGACGAGACGATGACGCCGAGGACGACCAGAAGCCCTGACCCTAGAGTTCTGCTTTTGTGTTTCAATTTCGGGTTTAGGGTTAAGGGTTAAGGGTTAAGGGTTCAGGGTTTAGGGTTAAAGGTTTAGGGTGTAGGGTTTAGGGTTAAGGCTTAAGGGTTAAGGGTTTAGGGTTAAGGGTTTAGGGTTAAGGGTCAAGGGTTTAGGGTTTGGGGTTAAGGGTTAAGGGTTAAGGGTTTAGGGTGTAGGGTTTAGGGTCAAGGGTTTAGGGTTCAGGGTTTAGGGTTAAGGGGTAAGGGTTTAGGGTTTAGGGACTAGGGTTAAGGGTTTGGGCTCTTCGGCTATAGCTCGACCGTTGTTTCAGGGTTTGGTAATGGAAATTAAGGCCAGGCGATGTCAGAATGACATGGTTTGGGGAGTTCTGCCTACCTTATACTATATAGGGGCCGTAATGATTAGAATAGGGTTTTGGGGGTATATTCTACAAGGAGCCACCAAAGTAGTTTCGGTATTTATTAAGCTATTACCTCGAACCCCAAGCCACCAACCTGATGTCAGTGTTGCATGCTGAGAGCAGTCAAATGCGCAAATCAGATACTCATGCCATGTCCGTGCACACTGCAGGCAACAAACTCTGGCATGCTGACTCGTCTTTCTGAACTCACTGACCACTCAGGTCCGTGCCCCTGGATGCGATGTTGCCGCTGCTAGCGAGGCCGCAGCCCTGCAAAGGGTATTCCAGAATTTCATCAGACACTGCATGCAGACGATTGCTGCCGCACCATGCAGCGTCTCGAAAACAAACCCATGAATCTGCATTCATGCGGATTTAACTCCCATTGACAAGCCTCCATGGCACTCGCACTTGCAGCCAGAATCAACTATGCTACATGGGTGTATTCCAAGGCTAACCAACACAGCGCCATATAGTGTTTGCTTAAAGCACCAAATTTCATCACTCATCAAGTGGAGTACCTATGTTACTCAGAAAGACATGTCGATGACTGTTGGGCAGCGAACCGCTGATGACTTCGGCGACATGTCCACGACGTCCCATCACATGCGGCTGCACACCTCATTCACGACATGTTGCTGAACGTCAGCAAGAGTCGATGCAGAGATTACAATCTGTCTGCTCCTATCCTGTTTCTGAGTCATCTATAGATGAACACTTACGTAAGTGTCGTAGCCGAAACCCAAGTAACGTACCTAGTCATGGGTCCTGAAGACACGCAGGGAGTTTCCTTGCCAGAGCCCATGAAGAACGCCAATTGAGCGAAAGCCTAAGCCTTAAAACCAGAAATACTACATTATATATTGTAAGGGCTAGAAGCAGGAAGCCTTAAACCCTAAACCTCCGAAAAACCGTATATATAACCTAGAAACCTCATCTATTTTTGGTCTCTCTCTCTCTCTCTAGCTCTCTCCCTCCCAACGAGAGGATATTGCGACGGGCTTGCAAAGGGAACTTGTGAAAGGGACCTTCATTTAGAGAGCCACCTTTATTGGGTTTAAGGTTTACGGTGCCAGGTTGGAATGCACGCGCGAGGGGCCCATGCAGTCAAGGCAAGCCATGCCGTCGCGGGGCTGGGGCAACATCAAGGGGCTCACACAAGCAGCCTTCCCTAAGCGAATTATGAGCTTGGCATCTGGAGTTTGTTCAATGTTCGGGTTCGGAGATCTACCGACAAAGTCTACTGGGAGCTGCGTGCAGGACCAGCTGCTCGGGTTGACAAGTGAGTTGACTCGAACTGCTTGAGGCTGGGTTACAGCTGAAGCTGTAGTCACGATCTTGTTTTGGGGGGCTGGCCCGAAACCCTCGATCATCCCTTCAGTGCCTCGCTTCACCTGAGAAGGTTGGGTTCAGACAGCAATATACTCCTTATAGTTTCGAGAATCTGCTGCGGTGCTCTGACCTGGGACTCAGCCTAAGGGATATACTGTATATGAGTCGTATGGCACACATTCATACACCACTATAAAGTAGCATATTCGGTGGCATGATCTGTGTTGCATTTCTTGTAATATTCTTGTAGCCTTGAAACTTGAAACTCTCGACTCTGAACGCTACATCCTCAATCCTGATACTGCCTGAGTGTGCTTGTGGTGTATATATAGAAGTGATCACTGCGACCTAGGTGCAGTGCAGTCAATGTGCCTGTGAACCGTGAGACCTTGTCTGGTGGAGTTAAATCTTCGATCCTAAATGTCCCCCAAGACCTGGACACCGAAACACTATACCTAAACTCTTATAAACCCCTAAACCCTTTATAAACCCTAAACCCCTAAACCCTAAACCGTCTGCAGAGCCTTTGAGTCGGAGGTCTTCCACAACGCCAGCGTCGAGGAGAGCCCAACAGAGGCAGGGGAGCGGACTGGCGCAGTTGATATGTCGCTGGGGTTCAGTGCTAGGATTGTATATAGGGTGTAGGATTCTCGGAGTTTTACAGAACAGGGCTCTGGCTTCTGACGGGAAAGTTTGGTTGTTCCCCTTCTTACATCCAGGTCGACCATGAACTTCATTTGACCCCTTCTGAATGTCGAGTATTAACCGTATTAACCCAGCACACTTAGCTACCCTAGACCCGATAAGTGTAAATCGGGGTCGTAGCATTTGATGTCCTAAATCCTATATACTTCAATGCCCATCGAAGCAGGCTGAGGCTGTGAAGTTGACTTCGGAAGCCTCTCGAGATATCCGGGGGTTGGGAGCTTCGCGAAAGGATCCGAAGAGACTCGACTTAGATTCCCGGAACCCAGCCAGAAAAGAAGGTTATGTCCCCAACTTATATAGGTCTCATGTCTCGAATCCTACGCAGTATACCGATGACTTTGAAGCTTGTGAGAGCTATAGTATATATAGGTCTTTATCGCATCTATAGCTGATATACACTATATTATACTTCTTCACTATATA